TCTAGTCCATCTGTTGGACTAATCAATCTAATCATGGCAAAGGTTTTTCCTTTCTTCTCATGTTCCCTTCTGCATCACGGATCAAAAGGCAGTATGCCCATTTGTCTATTCTCAATAACTGTTTCCTACAATTTCCAACTCTATGGTTTCAACTAGTCAATGTCTTGTCTTAATAGCGACAGAAATAATCTTTAACTTGTAAAGATGAAATTCTCTTCCGATATTAACAATCATAGTACGGTACGTTTAACAGCTCCAGGCAATGTGAACTGATATATATATATATATATCCAACAACTTAATTTTGATAACTTTTAATCCAATTTTGTCCGATTGGGTTTAGCATATAAACAAAACTAGTTAGAGATGGGCTGTCTGCCTAGAGAGAATGTATATGTTAGATATTAATCCCTAAGTTTAGACAACCATCTAATTGATTAATTAAACTTTTAAGTTAGTTGCTTTTAATTAGAATTCACATCAGTGCAGCTAGTAAAGACAACTAACTGCCTGCAATAAATTGGCAGCAACCGCTAATTAGCCTACAGCTCAATTAGACCTTTAAAAATTGTTGACGAGTTTGGGCATATCCTTTATATATACACACACACACACACACATTCATTGAATAATAAGCAAAGTCCATAACTTCTCCTTTTTCTTTCTAATCCAACAATGGCCTCCTTACTGCCATTAACCTCCAAACCTTTCATTAAACCCTGCAGCATCTCTAGAATTATTCTCATATTGGCCTCTACAATCACCATCACCATCCTCCTTTGCTCATTGAAAATGCCCATGTCATTTCTGTTCTATCCACAAACACCTATGATCCAACTAAACAATCTTCTTGTTTCAAATTTCCAAGTCTCGAACTCAAATTTGGCAGCCATTTGGTTGGCCAACCTCACAATATATAACCCAAACAAAGCCTTGGCGGTACAAATGAATCAAATTGAAGCTTCCATTCTTTATAAACATGACAATGCTCTTTCCTTAACTTCCATGGACAATTTCAAGTTGGGTTTCAGGGAGAGAAAAGATGTGTACGTGAAGTTTGTGACGACCGGGAACGAAGGTGATCAGCCAATTGTGGAATATCCACTATTGAGGGTGATTGAAAAGGATAGGAGACAAGGAAGTGTGAGATTTCGAATGAGATTCAACGCAATGACTACGTATGAGATTGGTTGGCATGGTTGGAGGACAAGGACAGTGATTATGAATCCTTATAGTATAGATTTGGATGCTGCTCGAGATGGAAGAAGAGGTACTGCAAGCCCCATTATCGGTGATTCCCCCATGGATGGTTCTTTGCTTATGATGGTTACTGATTGAATTCATTTTTTCGTCCACTTTTCTTTGATAAAAGAGCAGTTGGGATATATAGATAGATAAATCATCATTGCAATATCAAACAAATTAATTGTTATATTTATCTGTCTTATCATCGAGACAATTTTTCATTAATTGTATAAGAGATTAATCTTTATGAATTATGGGATTTTTTGTACAAATGTTTTTTGCCATCATTGTGTAAACAAAGTGACACAACTTAAATTTGAAGCATAGATTTAGTTATGGATTAAAGGTTACAATTGTGAAGAGTGTAGAAATAATCATTTGTTTGTTTCTAATTTTCTCAACAGTTTTATAGTGACAAAGGAAATTTTGAGTGATATATGCCAATTTAATTCCTGGCTAGTTGGATTGCCAAACTTTGGTGGCTTTCTAATTAAAATAGAATAATTGTTGTGTTAATTATTCTTCTGTTTCACAATATAACTCTCTCTCCTTACTCACTAGTATTTAATTTTATATACATTGTTTGACTTTTAAGCGAATTGCTGGGATGTTTAAAGAGCTAAAGATGCTGCAGTCACATCTATCATTGTTTGTGGAATTTATAATATGTAGGCAATTAGAATTTTGCTTTCTTGTTTGACTTTGATCTTTAGTTCTTAGTTTTAGCTTTGATTTATTTTTTCCAAAAACATTATTATATGATAAATTATACACACACATACATATTTTTTATCATGTAATCATATTGTTTTAAAAATAAATCAAAGCTGAAACTAAGAAACAAGGATCAAAGTCAAACAAGAAAGCAAAACTTCTAATTGCCTCCCCTGAAGAGGCCTCAGAGTCGAGTCCAACACAAGAAACTGGCCCAAAATCAAGAAATGGAATAACAAATGAGAAACAAATCAATATTTTAGATAAACTTCTCTATTTTCTATTAAAATATTTTAATTCATCTATAAATATGAATATGCGTCACTCCTTTGTTATATAAATAAATAAATAGATATACTTGAGTATATAATTTCGAATTTTTGAAACAAAATAAATTTATATGTGACTGTATATAAATAGTACAAAACTCTGGAACTGATTAATATGATATATCTATAAATAAATGAGTTTACAAGTTGAAGCAGGTCATGTGGGCTTGAAGCATCAAAAGAAGGCAGATCTCCCTCTCCTCCTTTCAAAGAAGAAAAAGCGAAATCTTCTTTTCTTGGGTGGAGAAACTGTTTGAGAGTTATGATAAAGTTCATGTGCATCGATTTCTTATTTATTTTATGTCTCACTCTTTAAAAAATTTGAGTAATTTCCAATGGTGGGATGACTCAGAAAAGCGACATTTCCATTTGTTGGGATGATAAATTAATGGGAAATTGTTGACCATAGCAACTTTTCCCTCGGTCTATGTTCACATATCATTTGTTGATGATTGACACCTGGCTAAGCTCGTTTTAAGCTACCATTAAATTAATCTAAATCTCGGATTTAGCTCTCCTTAATCTAAGGACCCCCTAGCCCTAGACTTGTTTCAGTTTCTGGGAAAGATCGAATCTTATTGGTCCAACGAATCCCAATCACATTGGCATTAACCAATGGCAAGTGGTGTTTAGTGACAGGCAGTCACCAAACCATTATTATAATTATCTGTTTATCTTGGACTAGGCCCCCTCCCTAAACCCCCAATTATAAACTTAATTAATTATAATTAAAGAATTCTAAAATTTGTTTAAAATTTGATAATAATAATAATAACAGTGAAACCTAGCTACATGTCCATTGTGGTGAAATGTGCTTTTCCCTCAACCAAGTTCGCAATTTGGTGGATAAGGGCGTACGGGATGTTTCCCATAGGCTGAAGCCGATGCAAGCGTGCCGAAACCCCCCTCGGTTGGTGGATGGTGAATTAATTTTAGGCTTTCACATGTGTGTCAGTACTTGTATTTTCCAAAAATAATGTTGGTACACATTGTACCCGCTTTATGATTTAATCAATGCACTATTAATTATATATATGATCAAGTTAAGGGTTTGGTTAATCCGTATTTTTAAACATTGATTAAATTAATTAAAAGAAAAATATAATTATAACAACATTTGCTAAGATGTTATTTATAAAAATAGTTTATAATTAATGTATTATTTCTTCGTAAATTTGAAAATGGTGAGAATTTTTTAAAGCAACCTTGTCGTGGATCCACAGAAGGGAAGCTATGCATTAAATTTTTCACTTCAAAATTGGCAAGTTATTGTTTGCTAACCATGTTTGGCATCTAAGTATATACTCATTAGGTGTATTTGGGTTGGAAGAGGCAACCAAATCATAGAAGAGATTTGTCTACATACGTAAACTATTAAAATAAACATATATAAGCATTTTCTATTGAAGTTAAAGCCAAGCTTTCGACAAAGGCCTTGATAAAATAACATACAATAGTATTTAAATAAAAAAAGTTTGAACTTTTTAAGTCATCATTGACTCGTTTTATGTATAAGTTCTTTTTTTTTCTTTTTTTAATGGAAGTAAACAAAAAATTCTTCACCAAGTGTAATTGCATCAAGAAATTAACTTTCAAGAAAATTATATCAATATTGTTTTGATATGAAAGGTTGAAGTTGCAAGTTCATCTCTCTCTAGATCACAAGGTTCACGTTGAATTGAATTTGGACATGATGAAATCAATTAAAGAATAAAAACCTTTTTGCTACCTTTAGCATTTTAATATCACCAATACTAACTATGGTCGTGCAAACTAAAGGTACGATTGTGTAGGCTAAAGAATACTTACATGTTCAGCCTAACAATTTCATCATTTATAAGGCAAAAAAAAATTAAAGAAACCCCAAGAATCTTTTGTTTATAGTTGGATGTGAAGTTTTTAAAGAAATTTTAAAGATAAGTTTAGTGGCCTCCTTTTGTGTCAATGAAAAGAAAGAGAATTATTCTTAAACAAAAGACAATTTCTTAATCCCATTGGAAATAAATTAACATGTGCATTTTTACAGACTTAAAAATGGTAGGTCGAAGTTTCAAACTTCTAATTAATTTTGGGTAAAGGTTTTGCTTGGAACCAACATTGAAATGAAACAGGACCTACCAACCAAGAATAAAGCTTGCTACAACCAAGAAAAAAAATATATGAGGCCTTCTACATTTGGATTGAAGAAAATTGGTTTCCCTATCCATATTTGGAAACTTTACAAGAAAAGAGTGAATCCCCTCTCCAACTCCAACGCTCTGTCTGACACGTGGAAATGATCCCATATCCTACAGTTGTATTTTCTGATATATGGCAAAAACTTTATCACATATGTGAAAAAGATCTAAAAAAAAAAGTGGTCAACAGTAATGTAATTGGCTACATTAGTATAGGGTTCGTCACAAAATATTCAAACATTGGCTACAGCTTTGGGTTGGGAGTTACTGTTGATAAACTCAACCTGGGTCCTGGGACATACTAACATTATCAGAGGCAATAAACCAATAAAAAATGGTTGAAAATGGAAGATTAAACTATTATTTACTGGTCTTCCCACCTGTCAGTGACTTATAAGTGCGACGGAGCCATAAAAATACAGGAATTCTATACAGTCTAAATAATTTTCCCTAAAAGGTATTGCGCAGCTCCAAGTCCAAACCATATTCGTAGTTAGCAGTTTAAACCTCAATAAGCAAATTCCCCATTAATCTTCTCAATATGCAGCTCTAGTTTCACCACAAAAGCCACTTTTTTCACTTATAAAACTCTTGATGACCACCTTAACCACTAGCTGATTATTTCCGAAAGCGGTCCATTGGCTTAACCCTGTAAGCTTTTTCCTTCTACTCTTCTGAATAAGCTAAGAATCTTTGGTTTTCATTCACTAAGATTGCCCTTAACTCTTTCACTCTTTTTAATTTGTCTTTGTTGCACTATTAGGAACCCTAGAACAACAAGGAGAAAGGATGGGGAGAGGGAAGATTGTTATTCGAAGGATCGATAATTCTACAAGTAGGCAAGTAACCTTCTCAAAGAGAAGAAAGGGGTTGATTAAGAAGGCGAAAGAGCTCGCAATTCTATGTGATGCAGAAGTTGGTCTCATGATCTTCTCCAGCACTGGGAAGCTCTATGAATTTGCAAGCACCAGGTTTGATAACAGTTTGTTATAGATTTTTTTTTTATAATCCACATTTTATATATCGAGATTAAGGAGAAAAAAAATTCAACCTTGAATTTTAATCTTTTGTTGTAAGAATAACAACCATTAAAGAAAAACCTAAGTTACTCATGTTATCATAGTTTAATGTGCTTCTTTCTTTCGATTAATTTTTGACTTAATTTCTGCTTTTTAACCTTTGCAATAGAAAAAATGTTGCATTTTAAGCTTATATTTTTTTCGCGACTGCCAGTATTATTTAACGCGCGAATTAATTATTTTTGTGACACTATTGTTGATTCTTATATATATATATATGTGTATATATATATGATTAAACATTCTTCCTTTGCTTTACCAACATTTATGCCAATTAATGGTGTTATACAGTCGAGGTTTGCCGTGCAAGATATTGCATGGCATCCAATTAAGAAAAGCAAGGTTTCTTCGTGTCTGATCTGCTGTAAAAATCAAGCCAAGCATAAAAAAGCTTTGGGATATGCAACTATGCATCTTATCTTATGTCCTAAATGATGAACAAGTAATTATATCACTGAAATAAATTCTAGTGAACCTGATATATTAGTCAAGCATAGCCAAAGTCTTAGAACTCACTCACTAGGAATATCAAAAGATTAGGAAACAGTACAATTTTTGCAAGCCTTACCTATCAAGAATGTTAATGGCGTTTGAACCTAAATATAGAACGTTTAGGGACTTGATTTTTGGTTAATTCAATATTTGCAAAATATATCATGGGAGGGACATAGATAGAGTTACTGTTTGTGTACCTATATCTATAAATATATATATATATATATGATGATAAATCATACATTGAAAATACATGTCATAGCTCATTTGCTTATCCTTAATGAATCTCATAATTACTTTCTTTTCTTGAGAATTAGCCCCCAAATAAATATCTGTTTTGGACTAGGGTAATGTTATTTTCTATGACTACTCATAAATTATATTGAGCTAATATATAAGAAATTGGCATTAATTATTTGACACTTTAATATTTCTTGCGAATGCCAATAAGAAAAAATATTTCTTGTGAATGAAATTACCTTTGTGATAAAGTTAAGGTTAAAAAAAATAAACATAAGATCTATGTCTAGGTGACCTACAATTTGCTCTCCCTTTTCAATCCAATAAGTCCTGTCTTTGAAATAATTTTCAAATTATAAATGTGATTATAAAAGTTTAGGTTAAGTACAATTTTATATATTGGATATGCATCGTGTTACAGTTTTCTTAGACTTTAGTAAAATTGGGAGCAGAATTTAGGGAGTAGCAAGTTTGGTTGTGAGGAATTACTCAAAAGTGAGAATTTATGTATCTTGAAATTGTAAAAACAATTTTCATTTCCAAAGACCCCGCTCACATGGAACAAGAGTAGAGGCATTTCCCTTGAGAAAATAATTAAGGGTGTGAAGCAGGAATCAGCTGGCTAGATATGAAGAATAATGGAGTATCAGATGAATGATTTGATTAGGAGTTTCAGCAATAATGCAAAGGTAGCCGTACTGTATGTTTGACAAATTATAGTAAGTTCGGTAGGCCAGTGAGGAAAAAGAATAGTATGTGCTTTTCTATGAAGAATGCACTATTAGTAAGGGATTTGGATTCAATTTTGGTGTGCTCCAAAGACGATAGCAATGGCAGAAGGAGCATGATGAACACTGAGTCACCGACAATAAAAAGGTGAAAATGGACCATTATCAAACAAACAATATGCATATAACCCCTTAATAAGTTAGCCAATGAACCAGATACAGACTTTGGGTTCATGGTTTCCATTGAAGGGTCGTCTCTTTTACCTAATTCTCCCCAGTTTTTGTTGATTTGATATGTTGATACTTTCTTCCTTCTTTCTGACAGGGAAAACAAGTATTTAAACTAATGCATCTTCAACCACACTAAACAAATAGTTAATTAGACGAAGCTGTAAATAAATAACAATATAGAGCATCTAGCTTTATCCAACGGGGTATTTGTTTTCTTTTTTCTTGATTGTTTTCCTTTAAAAGGAGGGAGCAATTTTGCTAAACTTTTAAGATACTTCTCAAACCAGACCTGTCTCTAATCACCAATTTGAGTTAAACCAAGATATGGTACAAACTTTATGATACGATATATGCCTATTATGTATATTTATACACCACATTTTCATGCACCCTTTTTACATTCAAAAGATATTCCCCACTTCATGAGTTCTTTTCCTGTGCTGCTGCTGATTCTTATTTTTCAACTTGTTAACACTGTTATCTTTTGACTATATCTCTGCTTTTTCTTGCACCAAGCCAGTCAAATTCTTTCCATGATCTTATTGCTAGAAAGATTATATATCCAAAGATGCTACTTATTTATATTGTTGATTTCATATTTTGCATCAATTTCCATTGCATGCTGGCATTAAAGTCAAAATTATACGGCTAGCTTTAGCTGAAGTTTTATGTGATTTATGTCTATATCATAACATAGTCGAAAAGCTGCTTGTTTAATTCCAATTTCTTACAAAAACTTTATAATTCTACATTCTAATCCAATACTTTTCATCAATGTATGATGATATGCATATGACTTCCTCCTGAAGCGATCACCATTACGTTTTCCTTATAAGAAACAAAAGTATTGATTCTTTTAAACTTTCCCTTCTCAAGAAAATGCTTGTTGAACTAAATTGCTTAGCAGCCAAAGATTTTGGCATGGCATGTTGGGTTCATTGCATCACACTCTTAGCTTTTTGAATTAATCTATAACCAACTTCTACAACTTTAGATCAAAATGCTAGTTTGATTCAACTTTTTTCGTAGTGTACCCTATTCCTTTTAAAGTTCAATGCTTCCACGAGAGAAAGAATATTATAAATAGATATCCAACTTTTATTTTACTTTTACCATTTCTTAATGTATAGTTATCTATATTATAAGAACCATATTAAGCAAAGTATTAGGTATCAACCATTCATTTAAGTGACCTCAAATGACCTCGAAAGGGAAAGTTCACATAGAAAACTAATTTAAAGAACCAAGCATTTAATTCATGTTAAAGGTATTTTATAGCCACTAAGCAAAGGGTAAATCTCACTTTATCTTCCTCAAGTTTTGTTGTTTTTTTTTTTTATTGGTATCTCTTCTCAATGGACTTAATTAGATCAATTGATGACACTAGAATAGAGCTAAGATTTTATATATATATATATATATATATATATATACATATTATAGTTTAAATGAAATGAATTTACTTTTTCATGATTTCAATTTTCTAAAGTTATTTATGCCAATCATGCATATTTGTGTGTGTATTCTCATTTGCAACCAATTATATACAATTTTGTTTTGCCCTTTATTTAATACGCTTTGGAAAATTTTCTATTTCATTTTTCTTAACATTTATTCAATTATTTTATTGCCACAATCTTGATAATTTCATCCTTAGCTTACATTAAAAATATTTATATTATTTATTGAAAAAAAAAAGAGGTTTGACGTTTAATCATTGAGTACAACTTATTGCGAATAGCAAAACTTTAATTTAGTAAAACTAACTGAAAACTTTAAGTAGAGCTAACACTTACTAGAACACAACACATATTTCATCTATGTGACTTACTTTTTTTTTTTTATTTGATAGGCATCTATGTAACTTAATAACTGATATAAGAAAGCAAAAAATATTTTCTTATATTTAATATTTAAATGAGATATGTGAGTAACGAGTTAGTGTAATTAGAACTTAGCCTTGGTTGTTGGATATATAAAGGAAATGCTAATATTGGCATCAGTTACGGTGATATTTAAGTAAAGAAATTTTGCAATTAATACCTCGTGTCCTCTTAAATTTGGTGAATATAATGCATTAAATACAAAAATCTTTCTTAAAATGGTATTTTAACTATCTTTAATCAGTGTTTACACAAAAACCTTTCTCAAAATAGTGTTTAAACTATACTTAATCCAATTTTATATATCCTCTAACTTGTTAGTAGAACCTTGATTTTAGGACTAACTAAAACCAGAAAATCCACGTTTTGTAGCAATTAAGCACATTGAGAAATTTCTCATGTAATCAGAAGTGAAAAATAGATAAAAGCCCATGCACACTAGGGAAAATATATCAAGTAATAACTGGCATTTCAGAATTACTGAAAAGAACTGCTTTCTTCTACAATGATGCTATAATAAATCATTTGATATTTCACACTGCTGTATTTAGATGAAACAGATAAAATTGTGCAAGCCCCTGATTATTCTATTGACTTTTACCAGCATGAAATCAGTTATTGAAAGATATAACAGCTTGAGAGAGGAACAACAACAATTGTTGAATCCATCATTAGAGGTGAAGGTAAAGCTCTCACCACTTTTTTGCTGTATGTATGAGAATTAGTATGCTAAAATTAGCTTTTGTTTGCACACATGCTATGGAAGAAAAAGAAAAAAAAATGGAAAAGATTAATCGTGCATATGCTATTTCATTCACTCATTGTTTAATATCTTAAGGTGAAATGAAATTTACACATAACTACAATAAATTTGCGTTATATTTTACCTAAATTTACAGGAAATTGTGTCAAAAAGAGTTTATTTGCCATAATAATAACTTCAATATGTATATATATATATATATATGTATATATATACAAACTACTTGCATTTGTGCAGTGGGTAATGCACTATGCTATATCTTATTGTCAAGAAAAATAACAGCATATGACAGCAATGAATATTCTAAAAGAACATATGTTTATACATATAATCATAGTCTATTGGCAGTCTAATATTAACAAAAGTAAAAACTGCAGCAAGCGAAAGAATCCAAGGTTTCAAAAGTCACCTTTCCTAGAGAAAAATTCATCTTTCTAATGGTAAAGTGAACAGCTGATCATCTCTAATTGTCAACAAAAGACTTCCTTGGTCCTGCACCAAACTAGAACAGTCAGCCAACAAGAACAGCAGGCATATGCAAGGGCAGCTTTATTACCAGCATTAAATATAAATTTTGAGGAAAAGCACCTTTAGAAGCCCAGGTACACTACAAACCCTAGTTTAGATGAGCACCAAGTCCAAGCAAGTTGACTTAGGTAACTCTACTATCAAAAATTCCCAGCAGAATGCAAACCGTAACAGTTCATTAGGAGTCTCTTTGAGAAATATATTTTTGAATAATGAAAAGCACCAATCAAGTGATCATACTTCACTAACATAAACCTGTCATGCTGGCAATAATGTAACTAATTCAGGTATGAACCAATTGAGTTCATACCTTTGAATAGTAGGATCCCATTACAAATATATAAACAAATAAAATCACATTAATTATGAAAAACCTTTAATTAACCCAAAAGCTAAAATGAAAACCATAGAAAAGCTATATGATAGTATTAAACTATTTCCAACCAGATTGTGTGATGATGAAGCCTCTCTAAAAGCTAAGGAAACAATCTTATTACTGTCATATCATCATTTTCGCAATATGTTATTAAAAAGCACTTTGCATACTTTCCTGTGAGAATGAAGAAAATAAATTTCTTATGTTCCAAGTAAACTAACATTTACTGTTTTTACTTGCCAGTTTTGGCAAAGAGAGGCTGCAATCTTGAGGCAACAACTACAGAATTTGCAGGAAAACCACCGGTACATTTTTGTCTCTGAGCTTAAAATACCATAACATTTTTGTTTAAAATATTTCTTATCCTGAAACAAAATTCTAAAACAAAAAAATTTAGCCACATAAGTAGCCTCTGTTATCTTTTACAATGCTTTCAGTTTTTCAGGCATAAGACACATAAAAATAGGATAAAGAAGAGAAAAGTAGTATTGTAATACTAGAAAACATCAATTAATATTCCAGAAATGATGAAGAAAACATGCAAGAATACAGAATACCTATGGGAGAAAGAAAAAATATACATCCATATTGCTGATATTTGAAATGTTGAAATGATTTAGCATACCACAGGTAATTAATAATTCAGTGTGCATGAAATTTAGGGGCAAAAGAAGGAAATAAAAACAGCAAGTAAGAAACAAGTAACAATAAAGAAAAAAACAATGGAGATTCTAGAAGGCATTGCAAAAGCTGAACTTAACATGACCAGTTGCACAATGCCTCACAGCTTCAGAATTGTCCCATAAAAGGCACACATGACAACTCATGCCACCATTTATATGTTCCTTGCACCCTTCTCAACTAGTGCCGGTTACGTGTCTTGAGTTGTCTGATATGAGTAATTTGGATGCTTGAGACTGTATGGAAACCTTCTTGCATAGTTCTTTTGTAATGGCTGGTTTTTGTAAGCCATCTCGGTTCTGACCAGAACATAAAGTCAGATCCTTTTGTAAGTTACAGGGATTCCCTGAATTGATCAGTGAAACTCCTTCCTTCTTCAAAAAAAAAAATCTTTGCCGGTTAACCATGGAACAAAGTCAATAACCATAGAATTCAACATATACATGCTCTTACCCTAGATCAAGACCTTAGGCAGTTTATGCTCTACACCATGGAATAAATTTCTAAACATCTTAAACAGTGTCCCATTGCATCTCCATTTCACCTGTATATTAACTTCTCCTATCTTCAGATATTTAAGAGGCTCTCATTCTCTAGTCTTACCATGGAAAAGTTCCTGACAAAGATAAACCAGGAGATACACGACTCCCAACTTGCATTTGCCACATCTATGTAATGGAAGCATACCTTGTTGAAAAATTACAGCCAAACTAACTTGAAATAAATCATAATAGCAAAACTACCCTCTTCAGCAAAAACCGCTTGCCCCCAACCCAAATCCATTTTTCTGTTGTCCTTGAAGACCTCAAAGCCTCTGCTATATATCCATGTTCTCACTTTCCCAAAATATGACCTCTAAGTACCTCTGAAAGGGTGCTTCCTCAACATAAGAAATTCTATTCAATCATTTCAAAGTGGAGTGAGTCCTAATGATAATGTCAATGGAACAACAACAAAGCAAAGGTTTTTGATGCTTAAGTTGCTAAATATGATTCAGCTTCTCTTTAAGCAATAAACTATATAGAAATAATAGTTCACAATTCATCAAATTACATCCATAAGGTTCACAATTTGTCAAAATACCCATCAGAACTGTGAGGTAACTACAATCACAACGCAATCTTTGCTTGTATAGTCTCTCCGCCTCCAACAAAGATGGATCTGTGACAAGGAAAGAGTATGATAATGTTCGTTAATTATGTACTAACCTGTACATGGACTTCAGACCTCCTACAGAGAGGTTACCATTCAACAGGCTCAAACATTTCAAATAACCATTTTGCATAACCGTAAAGCTAGTTTCAGACAGCTAACAAAAGGAACAAAAAATTACTGCCCAGATCCTTTATCCATCTCAGAGTCTGTTTGGCCAAAGACCTGGACTCAGAAAAGATAAAGTGGACAAATTACCAATCAACAATGAAAGTAGCAAACGTATGCCCAAATTTCGCCAGATCTTTACAGCCACTGATAAACAAGCACTGCATACAGCATCTTGCACTGAAGTTCAAGAAAGCGTTATGAAAACAACCACATTACCAGATCTAATAAAGATGTAACTCTATTATATTTTACATATGGATGTGAGACCTAATTCATAAAATCTGGTGATTGACCAACACATATGATCTGATAAAGCAGGCAACTGATGGGTGAACAGCTTCATGGTTTGAGTGTTGAAGACCTGCAGAATCTAGAGAACCAACTGGAGATGAGTTTGAGGGGTGTTCGTATGAAAAAGGTCAGATGTCAGAATTTATGCGTGGCAGTCAATTTGAAGCATATGCATGAAACTTGACATGCTTTTGTTTTAACTTTTGCAGGAACGGATATTAACTGACGAAATACAAGAATTGAGCCAAAGGGTCTTTCAACAATCAAACTTGCCATGTTTTGTTAAATTGTTCTATATAGAATCACTTCAATTGTTATACTTACAATGTGCTTGCACCTTTTTCAGGGTAATGTCATACATCAGGAGAATGTGGAACTGTACAAGAAAGTAAATCTTATGCGCAAAGAAAACATGGAATTATACAAGAAGGTATTCCAAATTAACATCCTCTAAAACTACATAATTTCAAATTAACAATGGCAATGAGTTAATAAATGTTGCTTCATGTCTCAGGTTTATGGAACAAGGGATGTAAATACATCAGATGGAAATGCCTTAACTTCATATTGTTTTGACTCTGGAGAGGGTTCACATGTCCCCGTTCATCTTCGACTAAGCCAACCTGAGCCACAAAATTATGACACACCAAATAGATCTAAGGATTAAAGGTAAACACAGTTTCTGTATCAACTAGAAATCTTTTCATGTCATCATCAATCTAAGTATATTCCATGAAACTGCAGAAGCCCAAGAAAGACTGTTGCGAGGAAATCGGACTCATGTTACTTCATCCTCAACAAACCTCAAGTCTACAAGAAAATTATTCTTGGCAAGATGATCTAGATAAAGTATAATCAGTGCAATGACCAGTCTGACATTGTTTGTGGCAGTACAATGAAATCACTATAAGTTATCAGAGGACGAGGAATCCATGTACGTGCAAATCAAAAAGTTAAATAAAATATTGTTTGCACAAAACTATCTCGTCCATAAAAAAAAATTAACCATTTTTAATGAGATCTACGTGTTCTTATACTGTGTTCGCTAAATTTTCGAATGATTAACAAGTATTAGAGAGATTGAATAACATGAAATCCCTTTGCTTGACATGTTTCTACAAACTGGAATAAAAACTTATTTTGGAAGAAAAGGGGGAGGAATAAAAAATATATCAGGTTACTTTCTAGAGTGAACAAAGAAGGGAGAGGACAGAAAGAAGCTTCATTGCTTCATATTTTTCACCTTTTGCATGATAGGTTCAGTCTTTTACATTTTTTGTTTTCAATGTAGTCTGCCCGATCCTACAGCACAAAGACTTGACTTCATCTTTCAGAAAAATACATATCAAAGAAGGAGGCTCAAACTGTTAAATAATTTGAAACTATATCTTAAATTTTTTCTTCCTCGAACTTCATGTCACCACATCAGTTTAATAACATGTGGGCAGCTTCTTCCTCGCAGCCAGAGCCACCTCTTGTCCTTATAAAGGTCTGAATTAGAAACAAATCAATTCTCCATGTTGCAGCCTCCCAATGTAGCTGTACTTAACTGAAGTAGAGAATGATCAAAACCAATATTCTTTTATCTTTTGCATCACAGGTTGTACCTATCTTCTCAAACTTCCAAATTGTTGAAATGCAATGCCATCATTTAGGAATGGATGACATAAAAGTTCTTCTGAAAGTGAACTGACAAGTCACCGGCATTGAATTTCTAAATTGCAGGGAGTCCACATATGCAACTTCCACACAAATAAAATTTGAAAGAATTTCAATTTACTAGTCATAAGATAAACTGCCATATATGATACTGCTGCACCCAATAGAATACGTTGAATGAACCAATGGCTTCATCAATCTGGGCCTCACTAGGAAATAGATAAAGGATGGCAGCATGGCACCATACTAGGTTGTGAATATAAGTTTAATCATGGGATCAAAAAAATCTGAATGCCCTTTGAGATGAAAACAAACCCTAAATTAAAACTAATACATTTGTACATAAGGGTGACCAGTTTGCTAAAGAGTTGAAATAGAAGTTTTATATATTGGAATTAAGCAGTCTCGGCCAAAACTATCAATTTAAAGAAACAGAAAAAAGAACCACTTTTTTTTTCTGAAAGATGACGGTTTATTCCTCCTTTATCCGTGATGCCATAGCAAGTCTTAAGCCTTTTAAGCTAGAGACTCTAATGGCATAGC